CACACACACACACACACACACACACACACACACACACACACACACACACACACACATACACCCTTGGCGTTCTTCATAGCTGGTGTGTTGCTCATTTTCCGTTTCGGTCTGACAGACACTAAAATAAACGGCCCACTGTCCATCAAATGCTTGTATTTACATAACCACGCCCACCTGGCCTCTGTTTACACACACAACATTTCAACAGCAAAGGATCAGAAGATAAGACACGTTTACACACATACACATACAAAAGACTTTTCTTAAACATCTCCTTTCAGTACACACAGACGCACACTTCCAGAGCTCATTACTGCAAATCTGTCATCTGTGTACTTGAGAGACACTGACAGAAATGTGGAAGTAACCAACACATGACTCACGCACTTTCATTGCATGAATGGCTAAAAAACAAATAGCACAGGCTAACCCACAGATTAGCATTACAAAACAGCCTGAAATACAAACTAGCATTAGAGAATACAGGCTAAAACATAAACTTGCGTTGGAGGAAAATGCTAAAGCATATATTAGCATTAAAGAAAACAGGCTAAAGCACATATTAGCATTAGAGAGCATGGTCTAAAACACAGTAGCATTAGATAAAATAGTCTAAAACACACATTAGCATTAAAGAAGACAGGCTACCCGTAAACTAGCATTATAGTAAACGGGCTAAAACACACACTAGCATTAGAGAAAACAGTCTAAACGTTAGACAGTCTAAACACACATTATCATTGTAGAAAACAGGCTAACACATGACAGCATTGAAGCATGATTATATTTTTTTCTGAATGTGGCAATCTGCAAATAGCTTGAAAACTACTTTTAAAAAAATTTAAGAGTATTTGTACTTGTGTATTTTAAATTTAGTAAAGAACTTAAAAATTTACCAGATTATTTTATATGAATATTTGAGCATATTCAATTGTCCATGGAGGACTACTAGTTAGGCCAATAATAAATATAATAACTTTGATAATGGTGGATGGATTTCCATCACTGTAGCCAAAATGTAAAACATCATGGACCCTACACTGAGGACTATGGACTACTGTATAGCATTGAATGACTGAACAGACAAATATGTCATTAAAATATAACAATTCAGGTAATTACAAACCTTTACCCAGTTTATCAAGGATCTATAAATACATTAAGAATGAGTGGACAATTAGAAACTATTATAACCATTACAACCATTAGATAACAATGTCCCCATTACTGTTAACCAGTCATTTTAATTATGTATATCGCTGTTACCAGTGGGTGGCAGGGTGGCACAGCAGGGTAGCAGGTGTAGAGACTCACATGTTCTCCCCTTGTCCATGTGGGACCCCAGAACATGCCAGTAGGTGTATTGGCTATGTTAATTTGCCCCTAGGTGTCAATCAGCATGTGTATACATGGGGCCCTGAGATGCACTGCCGTCCCATCCAAGGTGTATTCCAACCTTGCCCTAGCATTTCCGTGACAGGCTCCAGATCTACCCTGACCAGGATTAAGCGGTTACTAAAGATGAACGAATGAATGTTTTCCCAATGGACACTGGAAGGCCACAATGGACTGTAATATGAAACATCGTTGGGGGCACAGTGGCTTAGTGGTTAGTACTGTTGCCTCGCACCTCCAGGGTTGGGGGTTCGAATGCCGCCTCTGTCCTGCATGCAGAGTTCACGTGTTCTCCCCATGCTTTGGGGGTTTCCTCCAGGAAACCCACTAAGCTTCTCGGGGTTTCCTCCCCCAGTCCAAAGACATGCATTGTAGGCTGAATGGCATTTCCAAATTGTGTGTGTGTGTGTGAGTGAGAGTGTGTGAATGTGCCCTGCCATGGACTGGCACCCTGTCCAGGGTGTCCCCTGCCTTGTGCCCTGAGCACCCTGGGATAGACTCCAGGCTCCCTGCGACCCAGTGTTGGATAATCTGTATGGAAAATGGATGGATGGATGGATAAAATATTGTAACATTGTTACCCATCACCTTGAGTGAGAGAGCGTGATGTCAGGTACATGCCTATACACATCACAGGTAAATACCTTAAAGGCAGCTAATACTCTATTAAAGCATTCCTGCGTTTATTGTCTCTCTCACACTCACATACATCCCAGAGGCAGCGAGATCCATCACAACCTTGTATAAACCTGTAATCAAGGAATCTGTTTACATCACCCCTTAAGCTAATGCTACACGCACACATACACACACACACACACAGGGTGGTCTCTTTGTATCACATATATCCTGTGTATTACAGATGATAGCGGAATAGGGGAAGTGGGAAGTGTGTGTGTGTGTATGTGTAGGTGGGTGTGGTGTTACACAAATACACCCTCACCTGCCTTGTGTCATCACACTCAGTGAACACACACACACACCTCACAGACTCACACACAGTTCACTTTATTACCAGCCTTAAGGAAGCTTCCTTATTAATGCGAGCAGGGAGACAAGTTGGTCCAAGAAGTAGAATTTGTGTGTCTGTGTGTGTGTGTGTGTGGTCTGAGAGTTTATGATCTTCCCGTAACTGCACATCTGGTTTATCAACCCTCCATTTATCACAGATTACATGGAGACAGAGAAAGAGAAACAAAGAGAGAGATCAACACTAAAGACTGCACCTGCTCCTATGTTGTACAGCTCTGCCCACTGCGAGGTCACATACTAATTCACTAATTTACACTTTGAAAGTGCTCATGATGCATGCTTTCTCTTGTAACCGTAGCAATGATGCTCTCTGGTTTCTGTGGCGTTGGTAAGGTGAAACTAAAGAGCATGAAGAAACCCGCTCGGTTGCTAGGATACAGCTGTCCACGGAAACGGGACTCATTACCCATCACACACATGCATACACACACGCATACACACACACACACACACACACACACACACACACACAGGTGTGTTTTCCCTCACCGTTGTAGTTGGAGCCTTGCCGGGGCTGGAGACACTCTGTCTGGGTGTGTGTGTGTGTGTGTGTGCGTGTGCGTGTTCAGGTCTCATTCCTTTTGCTCTTTCATCTCTCTCTCTGTCTCTTTCAAGCTTCCTTTCCATAGTTCTCGATTTTGATCTGAACACTATTAATGCTAATGTGTGTGTGTGTGTGTGAATGCGTGCGTGTGTGTTTGTTGGACTACACTCCAGCTGAAGGTATGTGGAACTGCCTACAGGAACAGATCTTTATAATTTAATTTCCTTCAAATTTTTGACCTGAATATTTTGTATAATTTAAACAAGGAACACAAAACACCCGCTTCATATCTGCTGTAACACACGCTTCCTATCTGCAGTGAAGCACTTCCTGTACACACACACACACACACACACACACACACAGTGTCTGTAGCGGCTCACATTTCCTATCTACTGCAACACATGCAACACACTTCCTCTCTGCTGTAACACACATTTCCTGTCTGTAGTGACACATACTTCCTATCTGCCGTTACACACACTTCCTGTCTGTACTGACACACTCTTCCTGTCTGCAGTGACATATATTTTCCTGTTTGTTCTGATATCCACTTCCTGTCTACAAAAACTCTTTAAACACATACAAACGTTTACATCCCAGCCTTTGTATTTGGCATCATACTTTAATGATGGTTACAATTTATACCTTTATCAATTAATTAAGTAACAGTAATATTTGTTTGCTTAGCTTAAGTTAGCTGATTGGTTAAATGTTAAATGTCTGTGTTTATTTTGCTCAGGAAAATCATAAATCACAAGCCTCCATTCAAGTGGTGTATCTGCCTATGAAAATGTGCTTTGTTCCCTGCTTTTTTTCAAAAATAATCATGATTATCATTTAAGCCATTATCATACAGCCCTACAGCATTAGTATTAATAAAAAAAAAAAAGCTGGATAGGCCGATCATCACCTGATTTGTTGTTAGAACAAGTATCAGTAGAGGTGACAGCAGCATGGTGGCCATAACCTTCCCCATTTCTCCACTTCACTTCACTTTGTCCCTTATCCCCACCTCATCTCCTGGGGACCTTCATAGATGAGCTGAATATCCTCCCGAGTCTCTTTCCAGTCAATGAGACTCCACAAGCTTTCCTTGGAGACCGTAATATCCTATTAGGTCTGCTTCAATACCTCTACCTCCTCTGACTTTTGTCAAGTTCTAAGCCCCACTTTAAACCAATACAGTAAGTATGATAATAAGCTGTTTCATGTGTGTTTAATTCCCAAGACACTATTCAAATGTTCTAGGAACATCCTTACCCTGTACATATCCTTGTTAAAAACCAGTCTCCATTAATATGCATGAATATATTTCCAAATATCTCCATTATTTTTTGCCATGTTTAGTAGCTAGTTGGCTAGTTAACAGCTAGTAAACTAGTTTGCAAAAGTGGGAGTCTAGTTTTGCATTATTGTATTCTCAAAACTTATTACTAAAACCTTGCTCAAAACTCCTGTGTGGCACAAGTTTGAGTTTGAATCCCGAAGATGCCACAGCCATCTATAGCCAAGAAAGCAAAACTGTCTGTGTTCTCCGGATGGCATACGCTAACCAATCCCGCCCCCCCCCCTCCCCGCTCCCTGTCAATTACAGAGAAACTAGCCGATCACAGGCTTTTGTGAGCTCATGTATGCAGAAGAGGGTTGATAGATTTTCCTCCTGAGTATGTTACGTTGTCCTGTGATGCACCTTGAGCAGCAGCTTTAAAGATCTGGGGAGAGCTGGCTAATGGATTGACAAATCACCAAAATGTGGAGAAGAGGGGGGGGCTTTGTTTAACACTAACATTAGCTATGTTAGCTAGCTTAGCACCCAGGTTGTGTGCCCCCTAGTTGGCCTCTACTTTTATTAACCCTGGTAATCCTAACATTACATTCATAATGCACTAGATTGCCACAAGCGCCACTTTATCAGAAACATCACAAATGACTGATTTGTCTCAGTCTCAGTTGCTCCGCCCACAGCACATTCTTCCAAATCTTAAAGGCCACAACCTTCAAAATCTTAAAGGTTATATAGACTGCCTTTAGTATTGTCATGCTGGTCCCAATTCTGAAATACACCCACATTAATCCCCTCTCACGTTCAACCCTTTTTTTTTTTTTTTTTTTTTCAAAAATCCTCAAACGCACTATCTACATACAAACCATTGTCTTTCTTTCTCAGTGAAAACAGGCTCCAAAATCCCAACTAGTCTGGCTCCAAACCAGCACTCTCCAGAGAGCCTGCCCTTTCGCTGTCATCAATCCTGATCTTTCCTGACCCATTGGCAGTCTTTGACCCAGTTAACAACCACAGTATCCTCATGTCCTTCCTCATCTTTGGAATGGCTGGCTCAGCATGGCAGTGATTTGTGTCTTACCTGAAGGGGCGCTCATATCAGGTGACATGGAGAGAATCCACGACTGCTTCCTACAGATTCTCCACTGGCGTCTGTAAAGGCTCAGTACTCAGTCCTCTTTGCTCTACCCCCTGTACTTATTCATGTGATGATGCAATATCCCCACACGGCTTCTACCAGAGTTATGCTGATGACATTTAACTGATCCTTTCCTTCTCACCAACAGGTTGTTAATTATATCTTGGCTTGTTTGGCAGGCACCTCATCATAAGTCACAGTTCATCATCTAAAGCTGACGACTACATTGCTAGAAATCCACACTCCATGGCTTGGGCATCTTCTTCAATACTTTTTGATCACTCCATTAGAAAATGCATGAAACCTCAGTTTCATGTTGAACGATTTCTATGGTTGGTCATATTTTAGACCTTTCTTGGTTATGTACCCTTTTCCCTCAGGTGCTTGTTACGTCTGTCTTTATATTGAGACTTGATTACTACAGCTCGCTCCTGGCTGGTCTTTCTGGACATACCATTATGTCCTTGCAACTGATCCAGCATGTAGCAGCCTATGGCACTCTACTACTGTGTTCCCTTCAGTGACTTCCAGTAAAACTAAAAAACGAACAAACTTACAAAGCCAAAAATGGACCAGCCACTTTGACAAGATGCAATGTTTAGATCACAGCACTCAAGTCTTTCGAGCCACAAATAAAGATCAACTCGACCTGCCTTTTTTTGGTGCCCAAATGGGGAACTTCCCTTGGCACCCCCAACAGCCACATCCCTGGCTGTCTTCAAACATCTCAAACATTTTTTTAATAGTCTTTTGTTCAATCCCACCTGTTTGAGCAGTTATTTCTCTTTCTACCTTCTGTAATATTTTCTAATGGACTTAGTTGAGTAAATTTCCCAAAATATAATCAAATAAAAGGCAGGCTCTGAAGATAGATGAATGAATGAATGAATCAATCTGATTGGTGTCCATTGTAGTGTAAACCTTTACCACATTAGTTACAACTTATTTGGTTCAGCTCCTTGATATCTGAATCAACACCTACTAAAGAAATCTAAAAGTATAATTTACCCATCTTTTTGTGGAGTATACTGACCATCGTTGAGAGCTTTTTTTTTTATTTTTTTTTTTTTATAGTATTAGGCCACTACAGAACAACTTAAATTCCCCTACAAGAGGGAAGATATTCCCTCAGTTGGTGTTTTGATGATGATGGTGGACAGTGCTGTCTAACATGTCATTCCAAAATTTAACATCGGGTTGAGTGTGAAGTAGGGCTGTAGGAGATGTCTTGAGATGTTTTCTGTTGTATTGACATAGACTTGTCTCTGTCA